GGCGCACGGTGCCACTGTTGCCAGTAAACAAAGTATTAAAGGTCTTTTAACTGTCCCAAAAAGCAAAAAAAAAAGTCTTTGAATTTGAATCATATTATATTGCGTCATACTAGCACAAAAGGAGGTTGATTTGTTTAGTTATTAAGAAAGCTTTATATGCTGTAATACTTCAGCGAAACAAAATAACTCCAAAGTTTATATGAAAGTTTTCTATCGCCTTCATGGCGCACGGTGCCACTGTTGCCAGTAAACAAAGTATTAAAGGTCTTTTAACTGTCCCAAAAAGCAAAAAAAAAAAGTCTTTGAATTTGAATCATATTATATTGCGTCATACTAGCACAAAAGGAGGTTGATTTGTTTAGTTATTAAGAAAGCTTTATATGCTGTAATACTTCAGCGAAACAAAATAACTCCAAAGTTTATATGAAAGTTTTCTATCGCCTTCATGGCGCACGGTGCCACTGTTGCCAGTAAACAAAGTATTAAAGGTCTTTTAACTGTCCCAAAAAGCAAAAAAAAAAAAAGTCTTTGAATTTGAATCATATTATATTGCGTCATACTAGCACAAAAGGAGGTTGATTTGTTTAGTTATTAAGAAAGCTTTATATGCTGTAATACTTCAGCGAAACAAAATAACTCCAAAGTTTATATGAAAGTTTTCTATCGCCTTCATGGCGCACGGTGCCACTGTTGCCAGTAAACAAAGTATTAACGGTCTTTTAACTGTCCCAAAAAGCAAAAAAAAGAAAGTCTTTGAATTTGAATCATATTATATTGCGTCATACTAGCACAAAAGGAGGTTGATTTGTTTAGTTATTAAGAAAGCTTTATATGCTGTAATACTTCAGCGAAACAAAATAACTCCAAAGTTTATATGAAAGTTTTCTATCGCCTTCTTGGCGCACGGTGCCACTGTTGCCAGTAAACAAAGTATTAACGGTCTTTTAACTGTCCCAAAAAGCAAAAAAAAAAAGTCTTTGAATTTGAATCATATTATATTGCGTCATACTAGCACAAAAGGAGGTTGATTTGTTTAGTTATTAAGAAAGCTTTATATGCTGTAATACTTCAGCGAAACAAAATAACTCCAAAGTTTATATGAAAGTTTTCTATCGCCTTCATGGCGCACGGTGCCACTGTTGCCAGTAAACAAAGTATTAAAGGTCTTTTAACTGTCCCAAAAAGCAACAAAAAAAAAGTCTTTGAATTTGAATCATATTATATTGCGTCATACTAGCACAAAAGGAGGTTGATTTGTTTAGTTATTAAGAAAGCTTTATATGCTGTAATACTTCAGCGAAACAAAATAACTCCAAAGTTTATATGAAAGTTTTCTATCGCCTTCATGGCGCACGGTGCCACTGTTGCCAGTAAACAAAGTATTAACGGTCTTTTAACTGTCCCAAAAAGCAAAAAAAAGAAAGTCTTTGAATTTGAATCATATTATATTGCGTCATACTAGCACAAAAGGAGGTTGATTTGTTTAGTTATTAAGAAAGCTTTATATGCTGTAATACTTCAGCGAAACAAAATAACTCCAAAGTTTATATGAAAGTTTTCTATCGCCTTCTTGGCGCACGGTGCCACTGTTGCCAGTAAACAAAGTATTAAAGGTCTTTTAACTGTCCCAAAAAGCAACAAAAAAAAAGTCTTTGAATTTGAATCATATTATATTGCGTCATACTAGCACAAAAGGAGGTTGATTTGTTTAGTTATTAAGAAAGCTTTATATGCTGTAATACTTCAGCGAAACAAAATAACTCCAAAGTTTATATGAAAGTTTTCTATCGCCTTCATGGCGCACGGTGCCACTGTTGCCAGTAAACAAAGTATTAAAGGTCTTTTAACTGTCCCAAAAAGCAACAAAAAAAAAGTCTTTGAATTTGAATCATATTATATTGCGTCATACTAGCACAAAAGGAGGTTGATTTGTTTAGTTATTAAGAAAGCTTTATATGCTGTAATACTTCAGCGAAACAAAATAACTCCAAAGTTTATATGAAAGTTTTCTATCGCCTTCATGGCGCACGGTGCCACTGTTGCCAGTAAACAAAGTATTAACGGTCTTTTAACTGTCCCAAAAAGCAAAAAAAAGAAAGTCTTTGAATTTGAATCATATTATATTGCGTCATACTAGCACAAAAGGAGGTTGATTTGTTTAGTTATTAAGAAAGCTTTATATGCTGTAATACTTCAGCGAAACAAAATAACTCCAAAGTTTATATGAAAGTTTTCTATCGCCTTCTTGGCGCACGGTGCCACTGTTGCCAGTAAACAAAGTATTAAAGGTCTTTTAACTGTCCCAAAAAGCAACAAAAAAAAAGTCTTTGAATTTGAATCATATTATATTGCGTCATACTAGCACAAAAGGAGGTTGATTTGTTTAGTTATTAAGAAAGCTTTATATGCTGTAATACTTCAGCGAAACAAAATAACTCCAAAGTTTATATGAAAGTTTTCTATCGCCTTCATGGCGCACGGTGCCACTGTTGCCAGTAAACAAAGTATTAACGGTCTTTTAACTGTCCCAAAAAGCAAAAAAAAGAAAGTCTTTGAATTTGAATCATATTATATTGCGTCATACTAGCACAAAAGGAGGTTGATTTGTTTAGTTATTAAGAAAGCTTTATATGCCGTAATACTTCAGCGAAACAAAATAACTCCAAAGTTTATATGAAAGTTTTCTATCGCCTTCTTGGCGCACGGTGCCACTGTTGCCAGTAAACAAAGTATTAACGGTCTTTTAACTGTCCCAAAAAGCAAAAAAAAAAAGTCTTTGAATTTGAATCATATTATATTGCGTCATACTAGCACAAAAGGAGGTTGATTTGTTTAGTTATTAAGAAAGCTTTATATGCTGTAATACTTCAGCGAAACAAAATAACTCCAAAGTTTATATGAAAGTTTTCTATCGCCTTCATGGCGCACGGTGCCACTGTTGCCAGTAAACAAAGTATTAAAGGTCTTTTAACTGTCCCAAAAAGCAACAAAAAAAAAGTCTTTGAATTTGAATCATATTATATTGCGTCATACTAGCACAAAAGGAGGTTGATTTGTTTAGTTATTAAGAAAGCTTTATATGCTGTAATACTTCAGCGAAACAAAATAACTCCAAAGTTTATATGAAAGTTTTCTATCGCCTTCATGGCGCACGGTGCCACTGTTGCCAGTAAACAAAGTATTAAAGGTCTTTTAACTGTCCCAAAAAGCAAAAAAAAGTCTTTGAATTTGAATCATATTATATTGCGTCATACTAGCACAAAAGGAGGTTGATTTGTTTAGTTATTAAGAAAGCTTTATATGCTGTAATACTTCAGCGAAACAAAATAACTCCAAAGTTTATATGAAAGTTTTCTATCGCCTTCATGGCGCACGGTGCCACTGTTGCCAGTAAACAAAGTATTAAAGGTCTTTTAACTGTCCCAAAAAGCAAAAAAAAAAAGTCTTTGAATTTGAATCATATTATATTGCGTCATACTAGCACAAAAGGAGGTTGATTTGTTTAGTTATTAAGAAAGCTTTATATGCTGTAATACTTCAGCGAAACAAAATAACTCCAAAGTTTATATGAAAGTTTTCTATCGCCTTCATGGCGCACGGTGCCACTGTTGCCAGTAAACAAAGTATTAACAATCTTTTAACTGTCCCAAAAAGCAAAAAAAAAAAAAAGTCTGAATTTGACACAGTTCGCGAGTCGTTTAACGACAGTGACTTTCCCTTTTGGTTTTAAAGTGTGCAAGGCGGTGGCATAATCTCATAAAAAAAGGGGGCAAGCTCGTGTAAGACAAAACACATATACTTCTACTGACCGATGTAAGATGAACCTTACATGTACAATTAGCTCTGTCTGTGCCTCTCTCTCTCAGTCACTCCCTTTGTTGGTCTGTGTGCGTGTCTGTGCACACATACAAGTGTTTGTTTGTTTCTTCACATTCTGATATGCTTGGATGAGATGCCTCGCGGAATTGATAAAAGAAGTGGAAGATGTAAACAAAGCTCACCTCTCCGATTAGCGCAAAAGAGCAGTGCAGTTTCCTTGTGTTCAGCCTGTTACACATTTTTCTTTGCTTAATGTTATTTTTTTATTACAAACAAAAATAATTTGCATGGGTAGCATAAAATTACGGACAAATAATAATAAAAGCATTTCTGATATTAGTTCCGTGGGAAAGGATTTTTTTGAAGTAGGTGTTCCTGTGGAAAATCCTAGTGGAGTCCGTGTGGCTCAAATGACGATTCAAATCACCTTGATTTTTATTCTCCATCTTAAACTCAATGAATTTGTGGTAGATTAATTTCAGAATATCAATGCCTCGTCCATTTTGTGAAGAAGTGCAGTGGTTGCACCTTTTGGAAGCCGGGAAGGTTTCTCGTCGGAAGCCAGCCTTCAATGTGATGTTAAATTTATTTCCTGGGATATATAAGAACCGGAGAACAGCTAGATTGTCTTTTTTTAGGTCTGCCCCAGACCTTATGCAACGTCGCCCTTAATGTGTCGGCTCGAAGAAACAAAGTTCTGTCCGTGCGCGCTTCCGCCGCCACAACTTTGCACGCGAAAAGGTGCCGCAGGCTGCTGCTGAACGGTTGAACACCAGCTGCTCCGCTAGTGGCGTTGCGCGCGTTTTTCGAAACGCCCCTCCCGAAGTTTCCGCTTGGAGCGTATTGGCTCCATGGCTACCCATGCCACCAACTTAACCCCAGGGCTAAGACAACCCTAAGTTCCCCTCTTCTCAAAATTCTGGTCCCACAAAGTCTACATTAGTGCTTAAACTCCAACCACAGCTATTTCTTATGACCATGTGCACATATTTTTTAGTCTTTGACTTGTGCTATGGCCTTCTATGTGTTAGAGCTTGCACCCGTAGTAGTTGTTAGCGCGCCAATCGTGAATCGCAGCAGACCGTTTTGACGTCCTGTACGGATCTCGAGGGGGGGGATGTGGGGGTGGGAGCCAGCCCCAAAGCGGCCCCATGAACTCTTTTTGTTGGCTCTCTGTGCAGTGAAGTACCTGCGGGAGGTGACGCCCTACTTCCGCAAGGCGTCGGTGCTGGCTGAGATGGGCTGGGACTTTGCTCCGGGAGGTCTGCTGTCGCGGGACCACGTGGGAGGCGGCCCACAACCACGCGGCGACACGCGCCGTGTGCCCTTGCTCCTGTGTCAGCTCGCACGGTCGCTCACAGTGCCGGAGCCCAGGTGAGGCCTTGGCACTGTTAGGGGCCCGGGGCTTGGTTCAGAAAACCATGGGAAAAGGGGGGGGGGGGGGGGTCTTTTGTGGTGCCTAAAACCAACGATTCGCATGAAATATGCGCACATCGGGGGAGTGAAAGGTAAAATCTCAGAAATGTCGGAACGTTACGCAATAAACAAATTTAAATTGCAGGTTAAGCCTATAATATTGTCAGTCCAATCATGACGGAAGGCTGCTATAGTGTAATTTTGATGGCGGATATAGGTATGTCGGACCAGAACCGAACCGAAAATTTTATTATTAGAGGTGAAAAAGTAACTTTATAGAAATAATGAAGCACTTAGTAACTGTGCCAAATGTTAGGCACCTTTTTAGACAGGTTCTTTGATGGTGATTCATACTTAATCCGGGGTACTGAGTCCTCAGGCAACCATTGGAGGTGAGTTATACTTAGTCCAGCATACTTGGTCCGCAAGCCACCATTGGCGGCAAGTCACACTTAGTCCAGCATGCTTGGTTCATAGGCGACGGACTTGGTCTAGCATACTTAGTCCGCAGGTGACCGTCGGGGGTGAGTCATACATAGTCCAAATCGCTCGGCTCTAAGCTGCAGCCTAACGCCCGCTAATGTCAACAGAGAGAGGGAAAGGAAGCGTCCTCTGAGATAGCACACGGGAACCTACACGGCACTCCGAATGACGTCACAAGGAGGGGGACCAGGTGTGACCCTGAAAGGGGCGGTGCAACGATTTTCGTACTTCAGTCAAAGATTTCTGGAAGTTGCCCTCCGACACTTCTGAACTAAAGAACAGAAAACGGATTTCGCCTGCGTGTTCTAGTTATTGCGTAAAAAAGAGATAAATATTGGCATTTGGGGCACCCCTCAACTCCCTCGCAGCCTTCAGGGTCACACCTGGTCGCACTCCCAGTGACGTCATTTGGTGTGCCGTGTAGCTTCTCGTGTGCTATCTCGGAAGACGCTTCCTCTCCCTCTCTCTGCTGACAGTAGTGGACGTGCGGGAAACACGTGTACGACGAAACCGTCCGATCCGACGTCCGACCGCGCAATACGACGGTCGGAGGCGAGGGTTTTCAACGCTCTCCGATGCTACGAAAACCCTCGCCTCCGACCGTCGTATTGCGCGGTCGGACGTCGGATCGGACAGTTTCGTCGTACATGTGTTTCGCGCTTTATGCTGCAGCTTAGAGCCGAGCGAGGTCACGTAATCTTTTCGCCGTAGTTCCTTCGGCTGCCACTTGGGGCTGTAGGTGGCGGAAAAAGCTCGACTTTTGCTTTGCGATTATGCACCGGCATCGCGACATTTTTAATGAAGGAAGTGTTTTCTCTATCCTCCGGGACACGATAAACAACGTAAAAATGACGAGATGCAAATTATTTCAATCATAAAATCGTTGCACCGCCCCTTGAAGGCTGGGAGTGAGTTGAGGGGTGCCCGAAATGCCAATATCTATCTTTTTTTTACGCAACAACTAGGAGACGCAGGCCAAATCGGTTTCCTGTTTTTTACTTCAGAAATGTCAGAGGGCAACTTCCAGAAATCTTTGACCGAAGTTCGGAAATCGTTGCCCCCCCCCCCCCCCCCCCCTTTAAACCAAAACGTCGTGATGGCATCCGTGTATCCCATACATTCGGACACGTTCCACTTTTGCGAGACGGCTCTGCGCTACCACTGGAAGGTCAAAGTGACCTTTTCGGGTTAAAGCTGAATTTTAGAAAATGGATTCGACGCACTTTTATCGGTTTAAAGGGGTCATGAATCGCTTTTCCAACTTTTTCGTGTTTAGCTTTCCTCCTCAACTCATAAATCGCGCATTCTACCAAACAGTTCAAGAAGACGAAAAGAGGGGAGTCTCCTGTTGCTCGGACTCTTGTTTGTATACCCGGACAGAGCCATTGTCCCCCTAGAAGATTAGCCCGTCGCTCAAAATTCAGACAAAAGTTGCTTTCCCTAGGGTGCCTTCATGTGCACTTCGCAAAGCGCACATGAAGGCTCCCTAGCTTTCCCCATCCTGTTCACCGCGAAGCTGACAGTGCTGTGGGAGCTACGTGCTCGTTGGGTCAGCCACACTTTTGCCACATGATCACGCTCTCTCGCGCATACCCACGCGTAGAGAATGAGGTCAGGTGATGAAAGAGAGGCGGCTGATTGGTCCGGCAAGCGCGTAGCTTCCACCACAAAGGAGGAAGTACGAAATAGTCCGCTGTGTTTTCAAATTTTCGCACTAAAGTCAGGCTTTTGACTTTTTTTCTTTTGGCCCACTGAACGATGTGCTATTAGTAAAATCCCAATCTAAAGTGATTTATACCAGCCCAAAATTCGTTTCATGGGCCCTTTAAATCGAAAATGCCGAACTTAAAAACTGTCCTTTTTCGGTTAAAACCGACTTTCCGAAAATGGACTCGGCGTACTTTTATCGGATTAAACCGAAAACTCCAAACCCTAGTTATAACTTATAAGCAAGCATCTGAATAAAGAGTTATTGAATAATATCCGCCCAGCAAAGAAAGGCTTGCCTGTACAGTTGCGCATCTAAATTTGACTGACGACCGATAGATATCAGATAGGGTACTGCACGATGCCAGACAGTTTACAAATATTACTACAATCGTTTGTTGGGGAAAAAAACAAATTTCCAAGGACGCCTAGGTACTTTTTATGAGTTGTGAATGCGAAATAGTGCTTGGCGCCGAGAGGAGCAGAAGCGACTGCAACGCCGGTCGGTGCGCAGACCGCCCCGCCGTGTATTCAGAGACTTGACAACGATGGTGGATTTTGCCTACACGCAGCACATTCCTAGAAGCCACGCACCATGTCTCCCTATCGCACACGGCGAGCGCTGCGGCAGTGACGTCACGCTCCCCCACTGCTCAGGCTCAAAGAGACGAGGACAAACAAAGAAGGAACACAGACAGGCGCCTGTCTGTGTTCTGTGTTCCTTCCTCGTTTGTCCTTGTCTCTTCGTGCGCGATTTTTAACCATGTTTAGCGTTAACCAACTCGCCCAGCTTACTACTTTGCGAGCCGCCTCGGTGGCTCCGAGGCGAGAGCGCCGGCCTACGGATCCCCAGATGGCGGGTTCGAATCCCGACCGAGGTGCCCGCAATATGACGGAGGCTTATTGCGGAGAAGGCGCCGTGTAACCGAGCTTTCGGTTGCACGTCAAAATGCCCCCAGGTGGTCCAAATTAATCCTCAGTCCTCCGCTGGGGCGTGCCAGGTGCCCGTCGTAGGTTTGGCACGTAAAACCCCCAAATTTGACTTTACTACTTTGCGAACCTCGCCGGCTTCACGAAGGCTTCCGTGACGAAGCATCGCGTTGCTGGTGACCTTGAGCGCACCCGCCAGCTTCCGTGACGAGGCATCTGCGTTGCTGTGCTCTTCTTTGTAATTTTTTTTTTTCCGAGGCGCGTTTGCTTTGATCTTGAGCGGCCGTGCCAGCTTCCGTGACAAAGCATGTGATATGATTGCGTCACAGCCATTTTAGGTGGCATGGTGGCGTTTTTGGCGGGTACGGGGTTTTATGTCTCATTTTTGCGCGGCTACAGACGCTGCCGGCTCTGCTCTATGGGACAGTTAATACTTTCACATTAAAAACCTCCCGTAAAATACCAGGGAAGTTCCCACCCCACTTTCATTGAAAACTGGGTTAATCTAGATGTGGGCGCTTGTCCAGTCAAATCGGCAAAAATCAAGATGGCGGTAAATATAGAGCTCTGAAGGCAGGATGAACGGAATCAGAAAAAGCACATTTATTTTCACATGATAAATTATTTTATTTATTTATTTGAACATACTATCGATCCCTTACGGGACCAAGATAGGAGTAGGATACATAATTAAGGTCAATATGATTAACATGAAGGGGGGACACTAGCACCTACGACTCTTCCGGTTCAGTGCAAAAGAGGAGGTCAAATGCTCTTGTCACAAGTAGTTTTTCCCTTTCCATCGCAAGAATGCAGATATCCGCATCATCGCTGCTGGCGGTCTCGTGGCCGCTGCAACGGGCTGAATATTTTTGGCTGATGCCTGCGCTTTGGAGGAGGTAGGCGCTTAACATATGATTTGCAGAATTCCTAAGTTTGGGAAGTGTTAATAGAGGGCGATTGTGCAAAATGAGCGCTTCTGCGGTATTTTACGCTAACCCGATTTTACATAAAAATTGTTTCTTGGTAGGTAGGACCCATGCTACATAATGAAATATATGGTTACCTGGGACACCCTGTGGTATGACTCGTGCAGAAATCAGGAAATATAACTGCAGATTTTTACGGCTGCCTACATTTTATGTCGTGAAATTAAAGATTTTTGTTTCAGGGTGATACTGTGCTACACACATCCATGCAATGTTTACAGTTTAACCTGTGTTAAATATACAAGGTATGTGCAAAAAGCAACAACAACTGTACAAGGATTTTTTAATGTAAAAATAAACTATGAGTCACAGAACACGCAGCTTCTGCCGTAATGTTGCACTAGCAGTCCAGACTAGGTGCTAAAGTTTGCGAGCTTGCTGTTATCTGGTTCAAGAGTTTTTAAGCGATTTTTGGAAATTTTCATTGGGAAGATAGTGGCCGACGAAGCCCATGAATGCATGGAGATAAATGGCATTGGCTCCCAGGAACGCGCCCCATTTTCCCATTGAAAATTAAAGAAAATATTCTCATAACTTTTGACCCAGATAGCAGCAAGCTCTGAAACTTTGGCGTCTGGTCCGGACAGCTAGCTCTACTTTTGGGCAGACACTGAGCGTTGAGCGATGCATAGTTTGTTTGCGGTGAAAAAAAACACTGAATATTTTTTGCAAACACCCTTTAATCCATAAACTAGATAAAAAAAGAAGATACCCTCAACATGTTTTGTCCTTGGTCTCGAGTTTTACCATGTTTAACTTGAGCCAGCTCGTGTGCCTTTTTTGTTCAACTTGATACAGCAAATGGTGAGTGCCAATTGGGCAATTGAGAGCAGCTGTATCCTTTGTTTTTTTGCCACGAGGAACAAGTGAGCATGACACTCCTGTGATGTTTGAAGGGTACTGGAGCTTCACTCTCCCGACCGGCGGAGCGTGTGCCTTCTACGGTGTGCGGATGCGGCACAGTGCACGGCATGGTTCAACTCGCTGCATGCGGCTCTGGCTCGAGTGATGGCACAGGCCGTTGTTGAGACGGGTCACCTCCTGCGGGACGTGCTGGACCAGGCTCAGCTTCAGCACATGGGCTGGCTGGCCGAGAGGGTGAGGCCTCGCTCTTTGGCAGCGGCCACTAGGCCATCCGGCACCGGGGGCCCTTATGTTTTTCGTAGCCCTTTCCCCAACCCATTCACTCCCTGAGATTGGAACCAACCAGTAAAGCACGAGGTGGCGGGAGGGGGGGGGGGTGGGAAGGGGGGAAGAGGGGGAAGGGTTGCCTGGGACGCCTGGTACCTAGGGCCCAAGGCCCAGGGCCTCCCATCACCCCCCCCCCCCCCCACCCGTTGCTACGCCACTGCTCTTTGGCCACGCTCTGCCCAATGGCCGCTCTCTGCTGAGTGGATCGCGGACAGGCAGTAAGCATGCTGAGATGACGCCGGCTTTGTTTCGGATGTCTGAGCACCCTAGCTTCTCAAGAATTAAAGGAATTTTAAGCTCTAGCTGTTCATGGCCGCCCCGGTTTAGGCGTTATCTTCTACTGTCATCACTTCTGCTATCGTGGAAGTGTTTGGAAAGCTGTGTCATGTTTTGTCCCCACTTCCTACTTAAAAGACCCTGCATATGCATTGAGTCTAATTTCTTCTCACTTGTGGTTGCTTTTTTAACTCCACAGACGAGGGAGGACTCGGTGACGGCACAATGGCGCGCCGTTTTTGTGGCCATCACGGATCGGGATCTTCTCTTTTACGACCTTGTTCCCTGGACGAAGGAGGCCTGGGCTGTTCCTGTGCATAGTGTTCCCTTGTTGCACACCAGGTATGACTGAGCAGAACAGGTGGGAAGCTTTTAACTTTGGTGCTTGAACGTTGCTGCAGCTTCAGGCCTAAGAGAAAATGTTTGTTTGCTTTATCGCGTAATATTGCAAATATTGGGGCGTAAAGCAAGCCTGTTGGTAGTACCCTTTGGTTACCATTGCTTGCGTACGACACTACCCTAATATTCCAAGAGATGTCCCACCCTCCTCTACCAAATGTCTCACACTCGAGTCGTGCCGGCCTCGTTGCCATGCCAGAGAAGCCCGCGCGATGCGAAAATCCTGATTGGTTGATAGGGTCATGGCATCACAGCCACATGACCTAGGCTCGTCTGTCTGGAGGAGCGTACAGTTTCCATCCTTCATGGAGGAGCGGCAAGTTTCCGTCTGTCGCGGAGTGCGCCCAGTGGAGCTGTGGTTCTGCCGTCATCGTTCGTCTGTGGAGAATGCATACCTCGCTGCGGGGCTGGCGCTAGGCCGCTGGGAGAGAACACGTGTGTGTTGGATGTGCTGCCGTCTACCAGCGTGAGCAGCTCTTCCGAGTCGTCTTCCATGAGTGCGGATGCCACATCTACGTCTGCTCCTGCTTGGCGACGGGGTCGGCCACGTAAGGCTAAAGTCGAGAAGGTGGAGACGAAGGCTAGGCGTGCAGAGGCGATGCACCACAAGCTTGGCGAGGATTCAACAACACTATAGCGTTCCACTCTTAAAGGAAAAGCTTAAGCGTCCTCTTACATTTTTTGGTATGATTTACTGTTTTCTCCAAAACTCTAGTAATCGCAGTACCAGGGCCAATGGTGACCTCTGCGGAAATGAGGTTAGTTAGCTATGGCGGGGAGATAAGCGAACATTGCTGACTGAAATGGGCAGTCACCTTTGCCTTTTGCTCCTGCAATGAAGTAAGAACTGCGGTAATAAGTTTGGCAGGTCATATGATCAAGAAATAGCATTTTCTGAAGTTTTCTTGATTGCGCACTGAAAGTTAGCTCACTCCTTATTTTCACCCTATTGCTCTCGGTTTGAGGTGTGCTACTTTTCAGGATATTACGGTTGGGTTCGTTAGAGAAATGCCCGAAAATTGCTAAGTTGGTATTTTCCGGATGCAGTTGTCGACCAATTTTTCAGACTTAGCAGGGATAGAAAAAACGTCAGAATAATAGCCGTTAGAAAAATCAGCAGATTAAAAAACTTGCTTTTATTACGTCTAAGCGGGCTTAAAAAAGCCGTAAATAGTGCCTTGCTTCAGGTTACGCCTGCGCGCCTTTTTCATGTTACGCCTCCGTTTGCGTTCAGCAATTTTCTATTAGCTTGAGAATCGCTGCATTCTATTTTAGCGTTATGGTTCAGTACTTTCTGTGCTTCTCAGCAACACATCGCGACGGCGGAAGAACAGATGGGGGAAACACGTAAGCCAGCGTAGTCCAAAAACATGATTCACCGAGACGAGATTGAGATGAGAGGTGCAAGTCCACGACGGCATTGGCAAATGAACAAAGCAAAATGGTAACAACAATAATGATGACAATGGCACACAGCTAGAGGTGATGATGAATGTGATGAATGATGAATGAATGATGAAAAAAGCTGTACATCGTCACCTAGTGGTAGGATTAGCAGAACTCTAGTAGCACTGCCAAACCAAGCCAAATCAGGTGCAGCCAACATAGAATTTAAAATGTCCGCTTCTCGGTGGTGTTTCCCGCTGATCGCTCGCGACGATTTTGTCCGAAAAATCAAACTTGCGGACTTCAGATGTCCGAAACATTGGTCGTGAATAAGCACTATTTCTATCAGGGAGGTCACGGTTCCTCCTTTAGGTCCGAAATATCGAACAAGTCAGAATCATCGGCATCTGAAAAATCGGTCGGCGACTGTATACATCAGTGAAAAGACGGTGAGAGTGCAGGCGAGCTGGTGGTAGCTAATCATGTCGTATTACACCCGAGACTGCGGTGGAAGAAATCGGAAGAACTTTCAGTAGAAGGAACAGACACAGAGAACGTCTGTTGAGACGTTCTCTGTGTCTGTTCCTTCTACTGAAAGTTCTTCCGATTTCTTCCACCGCAGTCTCAGGTGTAATACGACATGATTGTATACATCACCCTGCTGGGTCTCTCTTTAGAGGCAACAAAAAGCCTCTTCAATGTGTGTTCAAGGACACTTGGGCAGCAGCTTTGTCTTGTGGGGCCAAGAGGTAATAAACTATTTCTGTTGGAAGAATAAGTGGTGTGGTTGGTTGCCTCTTGAGGGCATTGCAGTAAGACGAAGTCGCACCTGGCTTTCAATGTGGTTGTTCTTCCAACAGAAATAATTGACCCCACAAGACCAGTCTGCTGCCCAAGAGAAAGTGCCTCGAGCTCTTGTGGAAGGAACTTGTTGTTGCCTCCGAAGTGAGGGAACCTTAGTGTCGAACCGAAGTTTTTACCGGTTCGGGTTCACGGCTTTCGGTTCAGTGCCGATTAAGTTCCGGGGAGCAAAAATAACAGTTCAAACCGGTTTGAACCGGTTTGAAGTGTAAATTGAGAATATATTTTCCGCATCGTTCTGACAGTAGGCACTATTTAAGCTGTGAAACAATGAACTATATAATTTTTTCTATCGTTTGTGCAATCCACTTTTACTTTTAGGTACAAGAAATATGAAATTCCGTTAATTAATTTTGACACAGCAGTGAATGAAACTACATTAACGCACAAAACATTGTGTTTTTATGCGACTCAACATCCCTTTGTTTACCAGAGTCACGTATATTGTACCTGAATCAAAATGTTTTCGCGACGTGAGGTAGGTCACCAAAATACTTGGATTGGTACAAATTTCTGTCGCAGTATTAAAAGTTGAATCGTGGTTGAGCCCTTGAACTAAGAAATAATTACAGTTAGGGATGCCGCAAACTTCGCGAAGTTCGAGTTCGAAAGTTTTGAAATGTTCCAACTTCGCTAAGGTTTGAATTTGAAAAGTTTGGAACTTTAGAACCCCGCTGAGGCTCGAATTAGAATAATTAGAAAATTTTAAGGTTTCTGAAAGTTTGAGTTTGAAGATATAGAATTTTGTTATAGACAGTTTCAAGTCTAAATTTCACGGATGGAAATCAAATTCTGCAGTTTAAAACTAAGTTTTCGTGAATTCATGTAAGAAAAATCTCGAAATGTGCTACAAATTTTACTGAAAACGTTTCCTATTTCCCTTACGCCGTGAATATACTCCTTCCTTTTCAGTGCTGATATGTATCTGTATTACTCATTATTTGTCGTAACTTATGAAACAAGCGTTTAACTGGTTGAACGGTTCATCGCAAAGCCCTGAGGCGGTCAGATGAACATACTTCCTACTTATTTGCAAATTAGTAGCAGTCCGATCAAACGTCGCCTAAATGCAATGCTGGCATAACGCAACTAAATATGCAGGACAGTGCATTCACAAAATGGCATCCAAGCTTCCCAGCAGGTCGGTGGCGCCATCTAGTGAGGGCGTACAGATACACAGCACTCCTCCCTTTTTAATGAAGGCTACCTTGTTATTGAAGGCTATGTGAGTTTTATGGGCTTGCGGACAGTTTGTGTGGGTAGTCTCATGCAGGGCGTCCTTGCAGTCTCCACTGCCCTTGGTTCGCTCATTGCATTGGTTCTTGTCAGGTGGTAGTTGTTTCCCAGGACTTGATGCCAAAGTGGTCAAGTGTGGCTTGACTTGGTTGTCGTGGCGGCACACTTGCCCTTACGGAGTCGATACAATCACAATGGATGTTCCGCTGGTGTTGTCAACCTCACCCAACAACCATTGAGGCCCCTCGCCGAAATTGCAAACTGCAACCTTGTCCCTGTTGATCATTTTTCTTCCTCTGGAACTTGAGATGATTGGTGGTGCCTTTGCGTTGCGTTTTGCTGCTTCCGCTGACCTCGAGATTTCGACAGCCTTCTTCAGGGTTAGGGTTTTCTCCACGAACAGTCTTTGCTACACAGTCTTGTCCTGCATTCCACACACGAGGCGGTCCCTCAGCATGCAGTTGAGAGCCGTAGTTGCAGTGTTCTGCCATCTGCCGAAGTGCGGTGACAAACGTAGCGACGCTCTCGTTCTCGAGCTGTACTCGTGTGTTGAAGTTAAAACTCTCTGCGATTTCGGACGGTGGAGGGCTGAAGTGACTGTTCAAGGTAGCCATGAGCTCTTTCTACTTCTTCTCTTTTTGATTTGCAGGTGCTAGCAGACTCCGGAGTGTCGCGCAGGTGCTGGTCTCAACTGTTGTTAAGAAGATCCATTTCTTCTTTTCTTCGTCTTCGATGCCGTTTGCATTAAAGAATGCGACAACCCCTTCCGTGTAGAATAACCAGGGCTCCTTGTTGTCGTATTCGTCTAACTTGCCGAAAGTCACCATGTCTATAGTTTTGGAATTCACGCCTGGGAAGTTTGCGCACAGCGTAGATCCATAGAATTCCTACCGGGTCATCCCATGGTGCTGCTGCTTGGCGGCTTCTCTGGCTTGTCGTCGATCCGTTTCTCGTCGCCAATTGTTATGTACCTCGGGGTTGGGTTTTAGCATAATACTTAATTCACTAGTAACAAGCGGCCAGAACGACAGCCGCCTTCCATTCTCGCGGTTCCAGAGTCAGCTCCCTTTGACAAGAGTTTCTTAGCCTTCCTCGGTGCAATCGTTACGGAGCGGGTCGATGGCACCATCTGGTGAGGGTGTACAAATCTCACCGAAACGATCTCAAACGCAAAATATGTGAGTACAAGACCAGGACTGAGCTGCACAGAAATTAGTTTTTGTCAGAACTGTCAAGGACTGGAATGCATTGGATAAAACAATAATCTGTGCCGCAAATGCGGAAGCATTTCTTTTTTTTCAATTTTGTTTGCCCCCTGCAATACTGACTTAACAGGCACTGCAGGAGTTTCATGATTAAAGAATAAAGTTCAGGTTCGGCTAAAAATAATGCTTCTGTTCCGGTTTTCGGTTTGATAGCCTGGAGGGAACCCTCCTTTTGGCAGTTGTTGTCGACTCATTTGGCATGGCAGCACATGCGAAGGTGTGGCCTCTAGGCGTGATTCGGAAGTCAATATAAAGAGCGGGTTTGGAACGAAATGAGAGTGCATTATGCCAGGCTTTGATCTCTCTGGTAATAATGCAAACACACTTTTTGTGACAATATATGCCCGGTACCATGAGACCGTTCGGCTGGGCCAGGGGGCGCGCCGGAGCGATACCAGTGGTGCCGCACCGTGGCCCAAATTCGCCCTACTTAGCCGTTCGCTCATCCCATCGCACTGCCAGTTGCAATGGCGGGCACCGCGTTGAAGCTTTCTGTCCGTTAAAAAACTGTGATCATTTTTTAGGGAGGTGAACCTCCGCAAAGAAAGGTTGCCTGTGTGTCAGGTCTCCGAGGTGGAACAAATAATCCAGGTATAGGAATATTTGTCGTTTGCGAAGTGTGTCTCGCAAGTGCAAGACAGCCCCGACTGTAACATCCGCCTCGAGATAAATGCTCTTTTTCTTTATGGTTTCGCTAGCTTTTCAAAGTCAGGCCTATTTGGACAAAGATGAGGATGCAATATTGTTTAAATTGTCTTTTCGTGCACAGCTGCACTGTTGCATGCACACGTTGAACTCAGGTCAGTTCTTGGAGTTACCGGCTGATGGAAGCATGCCGCGCCTGTTCTAATTCATCCGAGTGAAGTTAACGACGAGGCACGTACAGCCTGATCGCAACACTGGGTCAAGTTCTAATATAAAACCGAAACGGTACGTCAATAAGGCCTCCGCTTTTATTTTGAGCGGGTCCAACAAAAAATATATATATTACTATATGCCGCAACACCTTGCTGTGTTTGCGCGCATCTGTCGCTGCCGTCAAAGCGGTAGAATCGCGATTCATGTATGTGCGTCAGTAACCCACTTTTAATTTTATTAGTGAAGAGAGGGATCTCCAATCGACTTGCATTTGCGTTGTAAAGCGTCCCCTTTTTAGGGTGACCACCTTCCTGCTAGCGAAATGCGGGACACGCGGGGGGGTGAGGGGGCGGGGGGAAGGTAGGCGAAATTTATTAACGAGCAGATCACGAACCGAGGTTCTGTTAACACATTTAATATCGTGTGCTGTTGTTTACACACCTGCAAATTGTATAGCAGCAATTAAGTTCAAATAATGTTCACTCCCAGTGATGTATTTTTATGCTAAATACGTTAATAAGTGTGTCGAAGTTGAAAACATAAAAATTGGCTGCAGCAGACCTCAATGCATCAAATGGAAATAAGAAACAGCAAATCTTTTTTTGGGTTACTGTTTCCTGTAAGCGCTACTTTTATCAACGTGGTCCTACACAAATTTTTAACATTATGTTATTTTTCGACCGTTGTGAGTTTCAGGTGTTTTTGCCTTGTGTGGCTGTCTTCACTAAAACAAATTCCACAGTAACCCTTTCGCATTGACAAAGCAATTAAAAAAAATTACAATAATTTATATTTAAACTTTTGACGAACAATTTTTTCTTACAATATTTTGCCACCAAGCGAAGCTAGAGGCACAACGGCGCGTGCGGGTCGGTTCTCCTACAAGAACGACACTCACTTCCCGCAATGCTTGTATAGAAAATAACGTACCATTGCGATTCACGAGATTACATCCGCGCTTCCCCGTGCCCCGTTGTTCGGCAGCTCATGAGTTGCAGAGTGAATTCTATCAGTGTGAAATGCAGGACATTTTGAAGATTCGGGAATTTCTCGCGGGACACGGGACACCAGCCCTCAATGTGGGGCAGTCCCGCGAGTCGCGGGACGGGTGGCCACCCTACCCCTTTTTTACCTCATTTTAATTGTTCTTTTTTTACCTTACCTCAATTGTTCCGGTTCACAACAAATAAAAAATTTTGCGTCACTATTTGTTTTGTTTGCTGTTTAGGTACAATTAAACTTGATTTATCTTGAATCTGTGTGCCAGGAGAGGATCGTCAATATTCCTTCACTCTCTCTCTCTCTGCAAGAAAAGATTACTTAATTTTAAATTTCAGTCATGAATGCTCAGTTACTGGCCTTTGTGACGTGCCCTGTCCTCGTCCTCTTTATTTTACTTTCAATTTATACATCTGACATTGCCAACACACTCTTATTGGTTGACCGAGGAATGTCCGGGTTTGATGTCTTAGAGTTACTTGGAAAGTAATTATGCCTGTTGTAGGTTAACTGCATCATTTTAATAATATAAAAAAAAGAACTAGAGTACAGCCGTCAGTGTAAATCTCGTTTCAACTACGCGCTCAAGTCAGTGCTCAATATGGGCTATGATTATCTGCCTCATTGGCCCTCATGTCTTTCGCTGCTTACTCGCCTTTTCTTGTAAGCATCAGGGAACAAACTTAATAGAAATTACTGTCAGAGTGCAGGCGATCCGGTTTGTATAATAACAATTTGGATGAATTGCCCGAGACTGGGTTGAAAAAACTAAAAATCTCAACCGTGTATGAGAGACACCTCTTTCTGTCCACGGTTGATGTTTCTAGTTTTCTCGACCCAGTCTCCACTAATTTATCAAAATGATAAAATGGCTAGTAAGCAAGGTGAGCTGGGTTCTCAAATTTAAACTTGTTTAAAAAATAGTAACTGCATAATCGGGTTTATTTTGTCGACGCCCACGGGGAGCCATCCTAGCTATTACATTAGGAACATCTAGCATCGCCAACACGCTCAAATTGGTCGACCCAGGGTGTTCTAGTGTCTAATTTCGTGACGCCCTTAGGAAGTAATTATGCCTGTTGTGGGCTAACTACATCATTTTAATATTATATAGAAAAACTAGAATACACCTATCAATTTCTTTTCAATTATGCGTTCAAGTCAGTACGCAATAGGGGCTACGATTATCTGCGTTTTTCCCCCAAGTCTGTTGCCGCTTACCCGCTCTTTGTTGTTAACATTGGGGAACAAAATGGGTGGGTAAGCAAAGTGAGCTTGATTCTCAAATTTAAAGTCTTTTATGAAAAAAAAAATGGTAACTGCATATTCGGGTTTCGTTTGTAGACAGCCATGGAAAACCATCGTAGCTATTACATTGGGGACTTATCGTAGAACGTCAGTGTTGGATTGCTGGCCCCACGGGAGCCAGCTCATACCGCCCCCAAGCAACGCAAAACCCCTGCATGCTCTCACGTGTGACCTACGAAAAGTCCCTATTAATGTGACAAGCAAGCGTAGCTGCATTACTGAATCACACGACAAGATAGAGAAACAATAATTAAGTAAACCTGTCCTCCGCACAGCTGGCGATTCATGCTTCTGGCGATCTTTCTTTAATCACCTCCCCGGAACCAAACAAATCTTTTTGGGAGGCGGATACCTTTCTGTTTAATACGATGCTGTTACTTTGGGTACCTTTTGCATTCCGTACATTACTTTACAAACGCGAGGCCAGCACGACAAGCGCACCACCCTCCCGCTTCGTCTGCTCCTCGTGCTTCTAACAAGTATCGGTGCGCCTCGCCAGAGAGAGGAGTGGCGCTGCGTATGCGCGGCGAAACTTCAGCCGCACAGCCCTATAGCCGAGCTTACGTTGGCATGGTTCACGACAAAAATACCTAGTCATTCAGACAGTTCAACTATGTGAAGACCAGTCCAATATTTGTTAGACTAGTTTGAATCTGGCTTAAACCAAGCAGCACCAGAAAGCCAGGAGCTGAGACCTGAAGACAACACACAATGCACCTGTTCTCCGTTTTTGCACCATTGCCTTTGTGGAAGCTTTACAATGTGCTGTTCTACAAGCTGTTCTCGAGCACTGTTGGGGCCTAAAAATGTTCCTATAAATAAACTTGTGAATGAGTGCAATTAATCTTTTTACAAAGGTTTCTTGAAGTCTCATATTTGATCAGTGTAGGTTTCAGGAAAACATTTTGAGCCTAAAAAAATCCCGTGTTTTCCTCTGCACAGGGAGTAATATGATAAAAACCGTCTGGTTGATGCTCAAGAAATTTTGAGATAAATACCTGAAAGCAAATCCAGCAGATTGGAGCGTCCGTGGTACCACCTATGAAAGTTCCAGCGTCAACTGGATGGTTTTGGCCGTTTTTCTCCCTGTGCTTGGGAAAAAAAAACTTTTTTTTTTTTCAGGCTTAAATTATTTACCTAAAACCTACACTCATTAAATTTGAGACGATAAATGCACCACCTAAAGGTGCAAAGTTCAATTTCACTCCGTCCCTTGGCTTAATTATACGGACTTTTATGCCCGAATAGAACACCTTGAAGTTTGCACAAATGTTGATGTTGATGTTTATTGCGTGCCAAAAATCACGATAAAGGTTTTGACATTGGTGCGCAGCAGGGGCTTTAATCTACACGGCGAAACCAAGTGGGACCAAGGCACTGGGACATTGCTGCCTGCTGCGATTGGTCAGCGGCGCCGAGCTGGCCAATCGCAGCTGACGGTGATGTCCCTGTCCCGCTTGGTCCCGCCATGTAGATTGGGGCCCCAGAAGTCACTTCCATAGGTCGTCATTTCTTTGGTGGGGGGGGGGGGGGGTGGGGGAGAACTTAGCTCTGGCCACATGTAACGATTTTGCCCGAAAACGGGCAAAAACAGCGGGTGCCGTAATCCGACGCCAGCAGGGACGGGACAGCTGTGACGGGAGAGCATGGCCGGGAAGGGTTAAGCAGCGGCCCCGGCTCTGCAGGCTGGTGACGACGAGTTCTGGCAGGGCCTCTGTGGGACCTTCACCAGCAGCGGGCAGCGGGGAGGCGACGACGCTGACGCTGCGCCTGGGCACGCGGCAGGGGGTGCAATCGCGGGTCATGCGGGTCGAGACGCACCGGGACCTGGCGCTCTGGGCCCGCCACTTGGTGCACGGTGCGCACCTGGCCGTGGCTGCCACCAAGGAAGTGCGCTTCCGTGAGTGCCAACATGTGTTGCATGCATGCACGGCCCGTTCACTGATGGCCGGCGAGCTTTGGTTTGGGTTTTGCAGATCAGAAGCCCAAAACTTTGACAAACATTCCAACTGAGGGACATGCCGAAAGGCTCTTTCCTGAGAAGGTCTATAATAAGTTGGGGAGGGACAGTATTTAAAACACTTTGCGTGCTATTCTGTATTTCATATTTACCGAAAAATACCAGCAAGCACCCACTCAGAATTTAAAGATAATCACGAAAAAATAGGGGATGGGTGCATGTGGAGACCGTCAGTTTTACGTATATATGTACTGTACATATTTTTTTGGATGTTTAAAATTTCGGGGGTGGGCACTTGGTGTGGAATGGGCGGATGCACGGTATTCTACGGTAAGTACATTCAGGGGAACATATTTGTCATTTAAGTAACAGAAACTGGGTCTTTCAAATACAGTTGTAGTCAGATAAAATTTTGGGCACCATTCTTTGCAATGTGAGTCATATGTAAAGGGCATGAACCTTGCTGCAGTTTCATCCTAGTAGGCATTGAAGAAGAAAAAAGAAAGAGAAGAACACTGAATGTACTGTCTTTAAAAATTGACTTTTTGGTTGGGGCGCTTTTGCTGTTGTGTCCTATAAGGCGTCGCATTTAAGCGTGTTACTTGAAAAGTTTCTCTGTGGGTTTAGAAGTTTGATTGAATTCATTCCTAAAATGCATTGTTTTCCCTGATGTTGTACCTGCCTATCTCTCATGAAACCAATTTTATTTCTAAAGCTTCTGCTTCTTTTTTAAGCACTTGCCTGTGGTAACAGGACTCCATTATCTATTTGTGCATTAACTTTTTTTTTCTGTATTAAATTAAAGTCTTGGGTGTCATTCTTTAGGGACCGAATGGATCTGAAAAAAGTATATGATGTCCCTGAAAAAGATATATGGTGTTGTTTTTAACCGCTAAAATAAACAATGTAAATGTAGCGGTCCGGACCAGATGCCAAAGTTTCCGAGCTTCCTGTTATCCTATTTAAAAGTTATAAAAATTTTTTTTAAATTTTAATAGGAAATTGGTGGCTGACGAGGCCCACAAACACATGGAGATGAATGGCATCAGCTACCGAAAATGGGCTTCAATTTCCCCATTGAAAGTTTCAGAAAATCTACAACTTTTGAATAAAATAACCGTTAGTTCTGAAATTTTTTCATCTAATCTGAACTGCTAGTGCTACATTTGGGCAGAGACGGAGCGTTCAGCGATGCCTACTTAAAGGGCTCATGAAACGAATTTCGAGCTGGAATAAATCAATTTATATGGGATTTTACTAATAGCACATCGTTCAGTGGGCCAAAAGAAAAAAAAGGTAGAAAGTAAAACATTTGACTTTTGGTACAAAAATTTGAAAACACAGCGGACTATTTCGTACCTCCTTCCCTTCGTAAGCTCTCCGCCTTTTCACAGTGATACATCCGCGGACCCCACAGCGCGTCACCGGGCCCAAATGTACGTCGCGCAGCACCGGACCTCACTTAATCCCTTCACCCCTAAGCTGACATTGTGGTGGAAGCTACGCGCTTGCCAAACCAATCAGCCGCCTCCCTTTCCTCACCTGATCTCATTCTCTGCGCGTGGGTATGCGCGAGAGAGCGTGATCACGTGGCAAAAGTGTGGCTGGCCCAAGGGGCACGTAGCTTCCACAGCACTGTCAGCTTCAGGGTGAATGGGGTGGGGAAAGCAACTTTTTTCTGAGTTTTGAGCGACGGGCTAATCTTCTAGGGGGACAATGGCTCTGTCCGGGTACACAAACGAGATTCCGAGCAAGAGCTTTTCGTCTTCTTGAACTGCTTGGTAGAATGCGCGATTTATGAGTTGAGGAGGAAAGCTAAACAGGAAAAAGTTGGAAAAGCGTTTCATGACTCCTTTAATTTTTGCAGTTAAAAAGACTATTTTTTGGGGGGGGGGGGGGGGGGGGGGGACAAATTGTATTTGCAGTCAATCAAATACTCCTACTAGGTGTATTTTTGTTTTGTATTCCAATACTTCACTCCAAAGTGTAGTGCACTTGTAATTGTAGATATGTTTTTGTCAAAGTATTTTGTCTTTGTATTCGAATGCTTTTTTGCTAGAAATTTGTTTATATATGTGAAGTCTCTTTTGTTGGGCAAAAGTTGGAAGTCCTGAATAGGTCCCTTTTCTGCTTCAGCCTGCCTCTTCCAAGGCCAGGAATGTACCCTGACGCTGCACTTTGAAGAAGGCTTCCAACTGCAGGAGAACAGGCGGCAGCTGACTCTGTGGCAGTTCCCCTTCGAGAGGCTGCGAAATTCTGGCGACGACGGGATGCGCCTGGCCTGGCTCGATTTTGGTGGCGAAGATGGTGATAAGGTACAGACCCAGCTCCAGTTTGGTCCATGTCACTTGCGTCCGAGACAGCCCAGGAATAGACGCCTCGGCATCGCGTATTTGTTGGGAATGATTGAAAATATGGAGTTCTTACTTTGCGCGAGGCATCCAGCTGTCCTGTTGGTGCCCACCATTGCAAACTTCACCCAGCTGCCCGAGTGCTTGCGGTTGCGTTGTTCGGCCAGTTAGTCGATTGCTGCATAGGACCTGAAGCTTGGAGCACTATTCCTCACTTATTGTAAAATACCGTGGAACCAGCCACTTCATTGAAGTGCACACTGTTAACGTTTCTCAAACTTGGGACAAGCGCCCATGTTTAGATTAAGCCAGTTTTTAGTTAAAGTGGGGTGGGCACTCCCCCGGTATTTTACGGTGGCTGGTAGTTCTATACTAGACCTTTCAAAAATGAGCTCTCCGGCCGCCGCCATTTTGCCACTCTTGTGTCCCCTATTAGCCGGAAATTTCTGCTACCCGCCTGGGCTGTGGATGCAAAAATATTCCAAAAGCCGGGAATCGTAATGATAAAAAAACTGTGCCGACTTTACTTAACAAGATGAACAATTTCATGAAACGTTTCGTCTCCCATGCGGGAAACATCATTAGTGAAACCTTCACCTGTGGAAACACGATCACCTCGACTCTCTGCCTGCACTGTGCATTCGGAGTTCACCGACCTTTCTTGAAAGTTTTTACTTTATTTGCCTATTCAGGATGCTTACCCTTATTGTATTATCTTCCACTATGTGAGAACCAGGGAATACCAGGGCAACAATACGTGGGCAGCAAACGGAGAGCACGAATCTCGAAACGGCCTGCGACATGGGCCGTTCGACGTTCTTGAGGATCATTTCCGCTGAAATGATCTCCGTAAAACCTTTGCGGCCTGCACAAAAAATAGCTGATCGGATGCAGGGCAGGGGATGGAGGAGACACATTTGTTTCTTTGCTTTGGTGCTGTGCAAAAAAACAAGCTCTCAAAACGTGCCTTAAAACCGCCGACACTGTAGATTGAATATGCTGTGTTATTTAAGATCTTTCTCAAATAAACTGTTTGAATAATGCGGCACCGTCGGGTTCATACAATATGTCGTTTGATTGGCGAGATTTGTTGAATTTCATGTTGTGAGCAGTGCCTTTGAGCGTGCCTTTTAGCTATCTTGCGAGGTCGAATTTTTTTAACAGTTAAGACCTTTGCAGGTTGACACGACTGATCGTTTGGCAAGGTCAAAAATCTGCATAAAATAAGGGCAAACATTCCAGTTGCATTCGTTCTGTCGTCATGGGCTCACCAAAAAATAGCTTTTATCTGTTTGTTTTTGTCCCCAAAAATGGTAGAATGCTTTCTCAAAGGCCTCGAGAAATTCTGTTTTGCCATAAAACACGCACACACAAAAGAAAAGAAAATGCAGCAATCTAGTTGCTACCAGTGTCTGGAATTGCACCTATGTGAGCTGCCACAGCTCACTGACGAGGAAATCCACAGCCCAGCACAGTTGGGCAATACTGACGTTCACTCTCAAAGCCAAGGACGAGCGCTGTAGATCGCCTGGTTCGAGACTGCCGGGGGATCGGTCGCCGAGTGGTCTAGCGGGCACCAGCTCGGAGCACGTGGAGCGAAAGCTCGCGCTGCAGAACACCGGGATCCTGGGTTCGAGCCCCACCCCTGCCCGTTTCGATCTGGATGAGCATCGTACCGGCGTGCGGTCGTGTATCACTACTGCGTGATGCACGTTAAAGACCCCAGGCTAGCGGCTGTACCGCACTGGCTAAATTTTTCATCTACAGCTGGGAGACTCGTCGCCCCTGTGAGGCAGACCAAGTTCTAGGCTGTATAAGCACACACACAACCCAATTTTTTTTCGAGACTGCCGCCTGCTGGAAAGGTGTATAGATAGGTAGTCCTCGTGGCAGTATCCAGTCTATGCCAATCTTTTTTATAAAGTTGATTATTCTACCCTTTTTGAAAAAAGATTATGAATGAAATGAGTAAGGGCCCTTTATATTTTCAGTCATGGGCGTTTGATCGATCTTGGTACGTGCTTCCCTGCCCGCCGCCTCGCCTGCTGGTGTCAGTACGCTGGCGAAAGGGGCGAGGGAAGGAGGTCACATCTCTTAAATTGCCCAACGACTGAGTGTGGCAGCTGCATTTATGCCTTTCACCACTTTCTAGCAGAGAGGCCCTTCAGGGGGGTGGGGGTGGGGGGGCAAATATATTCAATATTCATGGCCGATATCATTTCAAATTATGCAGGAAAAAGGCTTATGTCTCGAAAACTTTTGAGAAAAATATATATGCTGGGCAAATTCTTCACTAAGATGAAGCTGGAAAGTGCTTTTCCATCATTTTTTGTTTTTGATCTTTTTTGGCTTCTAAAGGGATGGGTTTTGGGATTTGGGTCACAAATCGCGTGTTTGGGAAGTTCGCCAGACTTCGATACCTTCTGCGCTACAAAGAACCCTTTTAAATGACTTTTTGAACTACATTAAAAGTGCCAAATGTTCATTAAAGTTTGCTGTTTTTATTTATTTATGTAAAAAAAAAAAACTCACAATTTGGCCTTTTTGACGATACTTTACCTGGTTTGGATGATGATAACTTTCGCTACATTCAGTTTGATGACATAAACTATATTCAAATGAAAGCTTAAACAAATTCCTATTCAGCAAGTGCAATATCATTATAATGAAATCAAGTTAACTTGGCAAAAAGCACCTTTGAATACAAGACAAAATTCTAAAAGTACAAATTTCAACAACAATTTTTTCAAAAAGGCCATTTTTTTTTTTTTCATATGAAGCACTTTTAATATGGTCTAAAACATCCAATAATGGTCAGATGTAGTACTTGTGGATAAAAACTCGTAATAAGGACGGTTCCTTATTTTATTTGAAAACAATTTGCTAAAGCTTCAGACCTATTTTAATGTCTCTCTATGGTCACGATACACTGTCTTGTGAACTTGTGTTACTACCGTAATATCCAGAGTCATCGTCCATCCCCGAGTTAGCCCCTCGCCCGCCCCACTTTTTGGGCGGATATCGATTTCCAAAAAAAACACCGACTGATTGCCCACCCCTACAATTACCCCAACGCAGACTTTGCAATCATTTATCCTACCTGAATAACGCAGCTGCTGAACTTTTTTTTTTTACCCCGTTCCAGGTAAATTATTGTCAAAGGGGCCAGGTTCTGGATCTTTTTACACAAATAAATAAAAACAATTTTTTATGAACATTTGGCATTTTTAATGTACTTTAAAACTAGTTAAAAAGTTTCTTTGTTCTGTGGAAGGTATCTGAGCCTGGCAAAGCTCCCAAATATTGAACCTGTGACAATCGTCCAAATTCCAAAATGCGCCTTTGGTCCTTTAGAAGTAAAAAAAATCAGGACTAAAAGTGTGATGCAAAAACGGTTTTCAGTTTCGTCCGAGTGAAGAATTTATCCAGCATATATATATTTTTTTTAAGTTTTTAGACGATTTGAGATGAAATTGCCCTGATATATATGCAACAAGCTTTTTTAGACAATTTGAGATGAAATTTCCATCATATATATGCATCAAGTACAAAGAAAATCGAGGCTTGCAGATCAGCCCTAAAAAAAGTGGGGAAAAAGCCACTTCGGCACGTCACTTTTCAGCCATCAACTCGCTGGATGTCAGCAGAAGAAAAGAAATGCAAGATAAAATCACAAAAAGTAATTAAAACATTCCACGAGCATGACATCATTTTATTATGCAGTTTAAAAACTATAAAAAGAGGGATTAGCTGTCTGTTGATCCTAGCAACCACATGAGACATGCTAGACGATTTTTGACTCAAGCTTCTTGAAATGGACCTGGAGGAGTACCGGTACCTGCAGTGCATCAGTCAGGAACAATTCCTCTAGCTTTCTTCACGCGTGGGACCAAGAATTGCGCGACAAAAGAAAACAGTGCGCCATCTTTTTTTTATCAGAAGAAAGGTGTGTTGTTGCCAGGCAAAACAGTTTTCGAGTCGAACCCCCGCCAGAAATCCGTGCAAAGCGTGGGCCAAAAAAGCCGAGTGCCTCTTCACTCGCGGATTTTTTTTACTGCAAACCACGCTCCAAATACGTTTAGTCTGGCAACGAAATATTGATTTCTTTTTAAAGAGCAATACAAAGATTGTTCATCATTGTGCTTTGTTCTGTTTTTGTTAGTTTGCTCATCTGTGTTGTCACGCAGTTCTTGGTACCACAAGTGAGAGAACCTGCAGAACCTATAAGCCTGGCTGATGCGCCTCAGGCTCTGGTATTCCTCCGGGTCTGTGCAAGGAAGCTTCTGTCAAAACTTCTCTAACACGCCGCCATCTCCTGCACATGCACTACAGCCTGTCATCCAGCAAGGCCCTTTTTTGCGACTTTGGTGTACTGAAGTGTTGCGCACAACTGTGTGGAGACAAACCGATGAGAACATTGGCAAACGCCCCTCTGCAATCCCAGGACTTGGTTCCAAGCACCCAAAGCGCCAGGTGGAAATTGCGAGCTTTTTCTGAACGCTGTGGAGTTCACATAGACGAATGTTTAAAACCATTTTCTGGACGTATTTGAGATTACGCCTGAATGGCGTTCTCGTTCCTTACGTTTTCCCGGATCATACATTTTATTTCCCCGGTTTCCTGAAAAACATATTAAAATGAGCAAAAGAAGAAAAGTGGCTTTGTTATCATGTTTGTTGTTCCAACCTTTCGTGACACTTGAGAATGAGAAGTGAGCCCTAAAACAGATTTCGTGTGAATAAGAGACAAGGAAGAAATGAGTGTTGCCATTTGTAATGCAAGGTATTCGTGGGCTTTGGTCTATTTTAATCTGCATAAATTAATATTTCTCTTTATGGGAATAAATTGGTTGACTGATAACGTGCAAGCCAGAGTGCCAGCGCATTATTACAGAACGACTCCCTCTTCTAAACTGCATTACGGTGACATCCATAGAATGACCTAGCGTCAATCAAATGTGCAGC